GCAGTGTATCTGGATCATGCTGCTGGCTCTCTCTCCTTCTACAGAGTCTACTCCTCCTCACTGATCCTCCTCCACACCTTCAGAGCCACATTCACTGAACCTCTCTACGCTGGGTTTAGGCTCTGGCGTGACTCCTCCTCAGCGTCCTCAGTGTCTCTGTGTCCTCTGTAGGAGGAGTCCACTTCCTGTCCTGGGTCACATGGTGTTTTAAATGGAGGCTTCTCATTGGTTACCGTGTGTCTCACTGATTGTGTCTGTAATAAAGTTTTCTTGAAGCAACGTATTAAAGCTGATCCTGAAGACTGTAGTGATCGATACGTTCAATAAAGATTTAGAACAAGCAGCCTCCTCTTTGGTCAATTTAAACGGTGAGTAACGTTATAATAATAATAATACAAATCAAATGAAATAAATAACATCTCAGAGGAGCTTTGTTTAATCAAATGTTCACAGGCTTGGGAAGTTTAAAATGAGGAAACAAATTGTTTTATTTAAATAGAAATCAACATAATAAATAAAAGAAATATTCATTTATAGCGTTTATAATAAGTAATACAATCATCAGTGCCTATTAATAATATCACAGTTCAAAGTATTATTACACCACATATTGATGCAGATATGTGTGTCTTTGTCTTAGATATCATGCAAGATATTGTTTATACTTTTGTTAAAATATGTACTTTTTACTCTAAAATCGCTTTTCCAGGTTGTTTTCATCCGGGTCTCTAGGGGGCGCTCTCACCGTGACGTCATCTGACTTCTTCTTCGTCGTTGTCTTCCCGATCAACCAATCAGAGCGCTGCATTCAGCAGTGACCTGGAAACAGTTGCTGCTAGGTCAAATTTAGTTGGGAAGAAATCCACTGAGTAGTGTCTGATTTTTTTTATGAAAATGGAGATTAAAGTGTTGTTTCAGAGCCTGAACCCTGAGCTAATCAAAGCTACAAAGCTACCGATGATCAGAGACACGAATCATCGATAAATAAGTCGTTAAAAGTGTTGTTTCAGAGCCTGAACCCTGAGCTAATCAAAGGTACAAACCTACCTGTAATGTTTCCATGTTGTGATTGGACATGAAAGACTCAACTTGCTGGACGTTAACAGGGTTTATTAACCAGTGCTGGCTCACACACGTTATTCATGCTTACTGTGCACTTCCTCACTGCTAGTGTATCTATATGCTGTGTAGACAGCAGGGGGCGCAGTTATACTGAGAGCACAATGCATTCACATGAATATCACATTGCCCTTTTTTTTTAATAGCTTTAAACATTTGGCTGTTATACTGCATTTAAAGGTGGGGTAGGTAATTTTGGAGAAACCAGCTCGAGTGCGCTAGAATTTGAAAATACACAGCCGGAAAAAATCTGCCACTTCCTTACAGAGCCCCTCCTCCAACACACACGAACGCACACATGACCAATGAGGGCACGAGATAAGTTAGTGCACAGATGGAAGGCTGACAGGCAGGTAGGCCATCCAGTTATTTTAGCCGGGCCGGCTCAAATGATTGGTCGTGCTTTTTACAGTATTACAGCTTCCACAGATGACGTTTTTTTATGGATTTTTTGTCAAAGCACTTCAGATATTCATTGCTATCGGGATGTTAAGAGCATTCCATGGAATATAACAAAAAGTGTATCTCGAGCCGGTTTCTCAAACTTACCTACCCCACATTTAACATAACAGTTATCTGGAACTAGTGCAATTCTGCTGTAACAGTATCTTTAAGACTTTTGCATTACGAAGAATACTTCAGGAAATTGTGTAAATACAACGTTTTCATTGTTACCAAGGTGGTTGCTAGGGACGCTGCCATCGATATTGTGTCTGTTATGTTGTGTAACTGTTTAATGGTGTTATCTTTATTGCTACCCCCTTCCCCGTCAATTTATAGTGTTGGTCCACAGTGCAAACGTATTAGTTTAACAAAATCCGCGGCATAGATACGTTATTTTCCCCTGTGCAATTCTCCAACCCGGGTTGCGCTCGTGAATTGTTGTTACGGAAACAGAGGGGTTTTAGGTTGCCATAAGGCTGTTGACGGTCTTATTAAAGGCTACATCCATTGGTTGGTTGTGTGGCACATTTGTAACGCTATGCCAACTTGGGCAAGCACAGGCAAACTTGAGGAGCGCACACAGGGTGGAGAGGTGGAGTGAGGTTGAGCGATGGAGAGAAAGGGAGAGAGAGAGATTGAGCGAGGCAGGCAGAGAGCGTGTGCAGCGGTCTGTTTTCGCACAGAGCAGGAGTTTGTGAGGGAGCCGGCTTGAGAGTCAATTTCTCTTCAAAATATAATTGATTGCCAGCCTCCCTTGTCCCTGGCTGGCTTGCTAGCTCGTTGGTAACATAACTGATTTCTTCTAATGTGGCTGCATCTGGCGCTGAGTTGCCATATTCCTTGAACCACTTCCTGATATCCATTGTTGCAGATAAATATAAATGATAATAGCCAAACTAACCTAGCAAGAGTAAACTGACAGGCTGCTGTGCCGCATCTCACTCAAAAACCCACACGACTCAACCCAGCGAAAAACCAGTCTCGCACGCAGCCTTTCATTCAGAATTTCATTCAGAATTTCATAGCAAAATACAAAAATGATATTAAACTAATCTTTCAACATAGTTTAAAACAAAAATAAATATTAGGACAAAGCCCAACAAATAACAACAATAAACATAATAATAAAACAATTAAAATGTTGTATTGCCCTGATTAAAACAGCGGGCCCAAATCCTGGATGGGCGGCCCGGCCCCATGACGCCCGTCCATGACGCCGGGTCTGAATACACCGCCTCTGACTCCCTTTCATCGGCTCTACACTGGTGACCCTGACGTTTTCGTGAAAGTTTCCGGAGACTTAATGAACATGATCAGTGGCGGCGCCAGGGTATGGCTGGGGTAGGCTACAGCCATACCAAGAAATGGCTTAGCCCCACCTTAGCCCCACCTTAGCCCCACCATGAAAAGTGATGCAAATTCAATTAAATAATAAGCGAAATGCTAAATGTTGAGAACACGGATTGCGAAAATATACGGGTCGTGTCCACAACACACAAACTGATCCTGCTGTAACAAGTGCATGTTACTGATGCAATATGGTTGAGACCATTCGGGCTTATGCTAGAAGAGGGGTGCAAGGAATAGTCTAAGTAGTGGGGGAGTTTTATACACTAAAGGTGTGGAAATTCTCTGGCGTTATAATATCAGCGCGGCCGCGGTCAGATGCCTCCGAATGCAATTTGAATAGACCTACAGCTAATCAGAGCAACGCAACGTTGGATCTGCGTCATGCATTACTGATGAGATCAATCGAAACCGCCATTCAGTATCCCCATTGGATCTTCAACGTGTACTATCATACGTCACGTTCACAGTGATCCCTTTTTATTTACTACAAGACAAATGTGCCGTTTTATTTCATACAGTTCCATTTTGATCAAGACACACGCGTGGCGTTTCACTGTCAAGGGGGGCGATATAGCGTGTATGTAATTACATTGCAAATACTGACTTGAGCCCCACCACTGTACCCAACAAAAATGCTCTGGCGCCGCCACTGAACATGATTGATCGTGATGTTTTTGTTAAACTGCCGGAGTTTTGGGAGCATGCTGCTGCAGCGTGGTTCGCACACGTGGAGGCACATTTTGCCTGCCGCCATGTCCCTGACGGGGACCTGAAATATTTTCACGCTGGGGAGCTCCACATCGTCCAGGTTGTCTTCAGCACTTACTATAATAATGGGTTCCATTTATAAAGCACTTCATATTTGAATGATCATTCAATGTCTGTTTTATTCAACCAAATGCCTTTGCTGATAAATACTCTGTTTCTAGACCGAGTGGTACCTTTCTGAGTGAAAACACATCAGAGTGACTGAAACCCAGTCAGTGTGAGAGGGGTTGTAGTTCTACTAGCTGTCCACTAACTGACCCTCTAATGCCCCTTTCACACCAACGCGTTTTCAGCTCCGGCTCGGAGCTAGAGCCTGAAAAGTACCGGTTTTTCCTGTTCACACCGCAGCGGCGCCGCCTCTTAGCTCCGGAATGCGGTTCACGTCCAGCTCCAAAAAATTGTCGGTCTAGAGGCAAGAGCTTCGGAGCTAAGAGGCGGCGTCGCTTACGTCTCTCTTACGTCGAGGCGTGCAGGAAACTAAACCCACCTCCCCTGAACAGTGTCAATTCAGACTGACACACATTCACTTAAGGGGAATTGGGGATATCACACAAGCAGCTGATATGTATCAGCTGCTTGTGTGACAGTCAGACAGTGAATACTTTAGAGCCGTGTGAGCTAACCCGGAGCTCCGTTGGGGAGAAAATCAGCGATGTAAACGGTGACGTCATGACGCAGCAGCGGCAGCTCTGGGCGGTGTGAACAGAGCGGGAGCTGAAAAGGGAAACCGGAGCTGAACCAGAAAAGCTCTAGCTAGGAGCTAGAAAGGGGAAAGCGCTGGTGTGAAAGCCGAGAGACACGAGGAGAGCTGGAGCTTTGATGGAGTCAGGACGAGTCTGACTCCATCAAAGAACCAGCTCTCCTCGTGTCTCTCTGAGTCCTGACTCCATCAAAGCTCCAGCTCTCCTTGTGTCTCTCTGAGTCCTGACTCCATCAAAGCTCCAGCTCTCCTCGTGTCTCTCTGAGTCCTGACTCCATCAAAGCTCCAGCTCTCCTCGTGTCTCTCTGAGTCCTGACTCCATCAAAGAACCAGCTCTCCTCGTGTCTCTCTGAGTCCTGACTCCATCAAAGCTCCAGCTCTCCTCGTGTCTCTCTGAGTCCTGACTCCATCAAAGCTCCAGCTCTCCTCGTGTCTCTCTTTGAGTCCTGACTCCATCAAAGCTCCAGCTCTCCTCGTGTCTCTCTGAGTCCTGACTCCATCAAAGCTCCAGCTCTCCTCGTGTCTCTCTGAGTCCTGACTCCATCAAAGCTCCAGCTCTCCTCGTGTCTCTCTGAGTCCTGACTCCATCAGAGCTCCAGCTCTCCTCGTGTCTCTCTGAGTCCTGACTCCATCAAAGCTCCAGCTCTCCTCGTGTCTCTCTTTGAGTCCTGACTCCATCAAAGCTCCAGCTCTCCTCGTGTCTCTCTGAGTCCTGACTCCATCAAAGCTCCAGCTCTCCTCGTGTCTCTCTGAGTCCTGACTCCATCAGAGCTCCAGCTCTCCTCGTGTCTCTCTGAGTCCTGACTCCTATTGCTTCAGAAGTTTCCCCCACACTTTCATAATGTTTTTATGATGCTCTTTGTTTCAATATCATGTAAAGCATTGAGCTGCCTTGCTGCTGAAATGTGATTTAATAGTAAACTTACCTTCTACAGAGTCCAATAGTTTATCATAAATCTCAGTAAAAAGATGATAATAACAAATAAAGGGAAATCACACTAAACAAAAAGACACAATCAAATATGAGGATTTGGCATTCTTTGTTATTGTGGCATATACATAGACTTTTCATTTGATACACGTGAAATACTCCTGTTCTACATCTGATACTGACGGGCATACAAAATATACCATAGCTTCTATACGTCATCATTCTCCATAAAGTCTTATTTTATATCTGGTTTAAAAAATAAAACAGCAGAGATGAAAAAAGACAGACGTCGAGGTTCAACTCTTGAAATGGTTTCGATATTAAAACACAAAATAATCTCAAAAATAAAAGACACAGTGAAGAAAATCAAAAGAACTGCATGCCGAAGAACAGGTACAAAAATAACTGCAATGTACGGAATATTACATGTTTTTACAGATGTTGGAGTTACAGGTAAATCTCAGCAGGTGACTCTCAGGTGTGCACGGCGTCTCCTGTTGCATCATGGGAGATCACACATCATACACACTCAGATAATAACTGTTTCTTCTGCAGGAATTATATCACTTTTTTGTTTTGCAAGAAAAAGTTTGGATCTTGAAAAAGAAATATCAGATTCTGCAGGAAAAAGGAAAAATGTTGCAAAATAAAGGTCATTTCTTGCTCCCCACATCCAACCCCCCCCCCCCCCGGGTCAGACGGAAGGGGGGTTGGTGTAGCTCAGCATCGAGCCCCCCCCCCCCCCCTTGAATCAGACGGGCGGGGGGTTGGTGTAGCTCAGCATCGAGCCCCCCCCCCCCCCCCCCCCTTGGATCAGACGGGCGGGGGGTTGGTGTAGCTCAGCATCGAGCCCCCCCCCCCCCCCCCCTTGAATCAGACGGGCGGGGGGTTGGTGTAGCTCAGCATCGAGCCCCCCCCCTCCCCTTGGATCAGACGGGCGGGGGGTTGGTGTAGCTCAGCATCGAGCCCCCCCCCCCCTCCCCTTGGATCAGACGGGCGGGGGGTTGGTGTAGCTCAGCATCAAGCCCCCCCCCCCCCCCCCCTTGGATCAGACGGGCGGGGGGTTGGTGTAGCTCAGCATGGGGGAGAAGGAGTGCAGGAAGTTGTTGGACTGAGAGCAGTAGTCCTCCTCTGTGAGAGGCAGCAGGAAGCTGAGGAAGACGAGGAGCAGGAGGAAGATCTGAAACGGAAGAGACACCAGCAGAACCCTCCGGAACCACGAGCTGCAGAACCTCCAGGGAACCGGGTCAGAACGGGAGGAACCGGATCCAGCGGCGCTGAGAAACCTGAAGGAGAGAGAGGTCAGGAACATGACGTTAACTTTATATGTTCTTTTCATTTGATCTATGATGTTCTCCTCATAGCCTGTGAAGCATCTTGAAGCACACTTTAAAATGACGTTGTTTTTAAAGTGTGCTTTATAAATGAAATGTATTATTTATTTATTATAATGCACACTATGTTTTTACTGCACATATTTTATATTCCATTCTATTTCAATGTAAATGTTACTATATTTTCTTTCAATGTTATTATAGTGTTCTTAAAATAGTTCTCTATCTGTGTTTTTTAATTCTTGTTTTATTTGCATGTACGCTCCACGAGTTCTATTTCCTCCCTACTGACCGCCAGAGGCTCTAGCACTGGATATGTCCATCGCGCGCATGCGCAGCTCGAGTACAAATAACAACAAAGTCACCTGTGACCCACGCAGAGGTCGCGTTAACCGAATATATTCCGTCTATGACGTAATTTTTTTAACAATGACGGAAAAATCTGAAAGCAGTCTGTCGTTTTGACGGATTAGAACAAACTCAGAACAGCGCCAAAGCTTCCCCGCAGCAGGGCTCCGGTGTTATGCCGTCATGTCGTTTCCAGACCTAACTTTGCCGTTCAAATCATTGAAATGTCTGGGAGTTTATGCTTTACGTGCAGTGTGCTCTGCATGTGTGGCCATTAAAGAGGGTTTCATCCCTCCCAATATGATATTATCGCTAGTGTGCAGCCGTTTGGCCGACACTTTTAAGCACTGGCCACGGTTACGTTTGTAACTACTGTTCTATGTGTGCTGTTCTCTTCTTTAGAAGCTAATTATCTGGTCTTAACATTTGTATTTTGACTTGGTCTCGCTTGATTGTTAGCAGCAGCCGCTTGGCTAACACCTTGCATGTACTGTTAAGCTTCATTATTTAACTCAGCTGGTGAAGGCAGTGCTCTCGCTCCCGCTCCCGGTAACGTATGGTTTTGATTGTTAGCAGCAGTCGCTCACACTTAGAGACACTCTGTACAGGTGAGACACTTATAGAGACAGTCTGTACAGGTGAGACACTTATAGAGACAGTCTGTACAGGTGAGACACTTATAGAGACACTCTGTACAGGTGAGACACTTATAGAGACAGTCTGTACAGGTGAGACACTTATAGAGACACTCTGTACAGGTGAGACACTTATAGAGACACTCTGTACAGGTGAGACACTTATAGAGACAGTCTGTACAGGTGAGACACTTATAGAGACACTCTGTACAGGTGAGACACTTATAGAGACAGTCTGTACAGGTGAGACACTTATAGAGACAGTCTGTACAGGTGAGACACTTATAGAGACAGTCTGTACAGGTGAGACACTTATAGAGACAGTCTGTACAGGTGAGACACTTATAGAGACAGTCTGTACAGGTGAGACACTTATAGAGACAGTCTGTACAGGTGAGACACTTATAGAGACAGTCTGTACAGGTGAGGTGTACGTGGGTATGGACCAGGCGTCAATTAAACGCCTGCAGCTAGTCCAGAACGCAGCTGCACGTCTTCTCACTGGCCACAAAAAGCGTGACCACATCACCCCAATTCTGGCCTCACTACACTGGCTTCCAATTCGGTTCAGAATTGATTTTAAACTCCTTTTATTTGTTTTAAAAGCACTAAATGGGCTGGCTCCGGCCTATATAGCTGAACTCCTCCAGCGCTACACCCCAGCCAGAGCTTTAAGGTCTGCTGACCAGCTGCTGCTGGTAGTGCCCAAGACCAGGCTCAAAACCCGAGGGCACCGAGCCTTCGCAGCAGCTGGCCCTAGGCTCTGGAACACTCTGCCCCTCCATGTGAGGTCGGCCCAGACCCTAGGGGTTTTTAAATCTACTCTTAAGACACACTTCTTCTCCCTGGCCTTTTAGTCAGAGCGGAGCACGACTCCTGACTTTTCCCTGTGTTTTCTTTTTAAATATCTGTTGTAATTTATTGTCTTTTATTGTGATTATAGAAATGTGTTTTTATGTGATTGTAGTTATTACATGTACAGCACTTTGGCCCGACCAAAAATCGCTTTTAAATGTGCTTTATAAATAAACCTTGATTTGATTTGAGACACTTATAGAGACAGTCTGTAGAGGTGAGACACTTATAGAGACAGTCTGTACAGGTGAGACACTTATAGAGACAGTCTGTAGAGGTGAGACACTTATAGAGACACTCTGTACAGGTGAGACACTTATAGAGACAGTCTGTACAGGTGAGACACTTATAGAGACACTCTGTACAGGTGAGACACTTATAGAGACAGTCTGTACAGGTGAGACACTTATAGAGACAGTCTGTACAGGTGAGACACTTATAGAGACAGTCTGTACAGGTGAGACACTTATAGAGACAGTCTGTACAGGTGAGACACTTATAGAGACAGTCTGTAGAGGTGAGACACTTATAGAGACAGTCTGTACAGGTGAGACACTTATAGAGACAGTCTGTACAGGTGAGCAGCTCCTCTGCAGAGCGAGTTAGCGTTAGCGTTAGCTTACAGACAGCGAGGCGAGGAGACGCAGCGATTACAAACAGCCTCGTAAAAAGTTTAGTTTAGATTCATTAAAGCGGGGAGTTTGGGAAATAGGTTCATTTGGTTTCCTGCGGAGAGCTGGGAAATGCTAAGCTAGGCTAACTTGGCTTCCTATTGCTAAGTTAGCGTAGCTTAGCATTTATCAGCTGTTACAGAAAGAAAACAAATAATTGTCATTGATTTGCATTTTGATATTAGACCGAATGTGAATTTTGTTTTTAGTTCTGAGATTAAAATCGGAATTCTGAAAAAATTTAAAAAGTCAAAATTCAGAAGTTAACCTCTTCCACACTTTTGTAATATATTTAGTAGCATGTCTATATTCTTCTGTTTTCTGCGGTGACATCATATTTTTTCTGAGTATAAAATAAATAAAGTATATTTAATGTAAATCAGAAGTTGAGTTTCTAAAGGGAGATGCGGTAACAATGTTTAGTTTTTTTTTAGTTTAGCAATTTATACAAAAGAGTATGCACTCCAAAGGTGACTCCAAAGGTGACTTTATACACACTCAGGCTGCAGTTTCCTTTGACTAGAGACACACTTTAATATATTTTACAGGATTTTAGAGTTTTCTCTGCAGAAATCTCATCAGACAGTAACAGGTGTTTCTACTAATGTGACTCCAGGAGAGCATGGACATGAATGAGCTTCACCTCTGACCATGTGACAGATGGAGACCTGAGACTGACCAATGACAGACTGGGGGGGGGGGGGGGGGGGGGGGGTAGTTGGTGATAAAGCAGCAGAAGAAGAAGAAGAAATTACACACACACACACACACACACACACACACACACACACACACACACACACACACACACACACACACACACACACACACACACACACACACACACACACACACACACACACACACACACACACACACAGCCTGAGCATTGTTCATTGCAGACATTTCCCAGCTTTCCAAAGAAAGTGTGTGTGGGGTTAGAATCTGCAGTTCTGTTATGAAGCAGACGACGAAGAGGAGGAGGAGCTCTTCCTCACTGCGAGCTACACACAGATGATCATGGACCCCCACCAGCATGAGCAGAAACATGAGGACTACAAATGTGTTTCAGGTGCATCATGGGAGGTTGAGTTCTATGATCTTGTGCTAGGTGCTAGGAACCAACAGAAAGGTACCTGTGGGGGGGGGCTCCCGGCTGTGACACACTACTATCGCCCCGCTGCTGTTTGCAATGAACAGGTGGTGAGGGGGGGGTAAAAGAAAGAAAGAATGTTTCAGTCGATGGAGAGAAATCCCAAAATGAAAGAAGAGCAGCAACAAAATCATGAGGACGATTTTGTGACAGAAATCTGGCTTTTTTCTCGGTCCAGACATTCATGAAGCAGCAACATGCTAACTCAACCTGATGCTAAATACATGATAACATGCTAACTCAACCTGATGCTAAATACATGATAACGTGCTAACTCAAGCTGATGCTAAATACACGATAACGTGCTAACTCAACCTGATGCTAAATACACGATAACGTGCTAACTCAACCTGATGCTAAATACATGATAACGTGCTAACTCAAGCTGATGCTAAATACACGATAACGTGCTAACTCAACCTGATGCTAAATACACGATAACGTGCTAACTCAACCTGATGCTAAATACACGATAACGTGCTAACTCAACCTGATGCTAAATACACGATAACGTGTTAACTCAACCTGATGCTAAATACACGATAACGTGCTAACTCAACCTGATGCTAAATACACGATAATGTGCTAACTCAACCTGATGCTAAATACACGATAACGTGCTAACTCAACCTGATGCTAAATACACGATAACGTGCTAACTCAACCTGATGCTAAATACACGATAACATGCTAACTCAACCTGATGCTAAATACATGATAACGTGCTAACTCAACCTGATGCTAAATATATGATAACGTGCTAACTCAACCTGATGCTAAATACATGATAACGTGCTAACTCAACCTGATGCTAAATACATGATAACATGCTAACTCAACCTGATGCTAAATACATGATAACGTGCTAACTCAACCTGATGCTAAATATATGATAACGTGCTAACTCAACCTGATGCTAAATACACAATAACGTGCTAACTCAACCTGATGCTAAATACACGATAACGTGCTAACTCAATCTGATGCTAAATACACGATAACGTGCTAACTCAACCTGATGCTAAATACACGATAACGTGCTAACTCAACCTGATGCTAAATACACAATAACGTGCTAACTTAACCTGATGCTAAATACACGATAACGTGCTAACTCAACCTGATGCTAAATACACGATAACGTGCTAACTCAACCTGATGCTAAATACATGATAACGTGCTAACTCAACCTGATGCTAAATACATGATAACATGCTAAATACATGATAACATGCTAACTCAACCTGATGCTAAATACATGATAACATGCTAACTCAACCTGATGCTAAATACATGATAACATGCTAACTCAACCTGATGCTAAATACATGATAACATGCTAACTCAACCTGATGCTAAATACATGATAACATGCTACACATATATTGCTTTCTCATGCCTGCAGCCTGCAATATGAACCTAATAAAGTCATGCTTTCTGCGTCCCTTAATAACATTCATCCAGTGTTCCTGAGAGACACAGGAAGAGGACACTAGAGGACACTAGAGGACACTAGAGGAGAGGCTTTAGGGAAGTATTTCTCTTGGGAGAAGAAACAAGTGACAGAACTGTCAAAAGAAGGAGGAAATAAAGAGTCAGAAAGGAGTCTCCAGATTTCTTGCAGGGTTTTGCTGTGGGAACACACTCCATGCAAGAGAAGGAGAGAGTTCAGAGGGAGGGTTAGGAGGTGAGGAGGTGAAGAGGTGAGGAGGTGAGGAGGTGAGAGGTGACGATGGATATGTTGTTCACAGGGACTTTGTCTTGGAGCACATGTTAGATCTATTTGTTGAGTATTTAATTTGAGTTTCTCGAGGTGGAGCGTGCAGAGGAAGGCGGTACGTTACCGATCGGCGGCGGCTCGGTGTGCTGCGTCCTGAGACCGGACTCAGAGAACCAGACGTGTCCAGATCATCTGCAGAGGACCAGGAGGACAGGTCCTAAAGAGAGAGAGAGAGAGAGAGAGAGAGAGAGAGAGAGAGAGAGAGAGAGAGAGAGAGAGAGAGAGAGAGAGAGAGAGAGAGAGAGAGAGAGAGAGAGAGAGAGAGAGAGAGAGAGAGAGAGAGAGATCAGACAGGAAGGAGGGCCCCTAAAATCACAGGATCATCAGATCCAGATCAATCTATCAGCACGAGGGAAGTTCCATCATCCTGGAAGGTGGCCACGGTGACACCGATCTTTAAATCTGGGGATAAGGCAATGATGTCCAACTACAGACCAATCAGCATCCTCCCCTGTGTCTCTAAGGTAGCTGAGAAATGGGTGTCAAAACTAATCAAACATTTAGATAAAGGTTTCGCTCCACTCCACCCAATGCAGTTTGGTTTCCGTGCTCACCACTCCACTGAGACAGCTAGCTGTGTCTTTGTGGAAAAGTATGTTGGACACGAGCCCATATGTAGGTGCTGTCTTCCTTGATCTCAGGAAGGCTTTTGACACTGTTGACCAGTGGCGGCCGGTCCATAGGGGCGCTAGGGGCGCCGCCCCACCTCTTCCCATATTAAAAAATAAAAATAAAAATAAAAATAAAAATAAAAAATATATTTTAAAAAAAATATATATTTTTATTTTTATTTTTAATGAACAAGGTAAATATTATATAATTGGTATCAGTAAAATGTATAATCTACAATAAAATCTCGTTTAAAATTGTGTTACGATGTCTAAAGTTACTGATAAGTCACATGTTTCCTGCCTGGCCTTGCCCGTGTACCTTCTCTCGTCTGGGGCGCTAAGAGAGGAGCCCTCAACCAGTGCAGCAGCAGCCACTAGCAGCTGACTGTTGCTATCTGTAACGTGTAAACTATGCCGCGAAAACATAATTTCAACCAATCAGCGTCGTCAAATATGACGGTCACGGGGCGCCAATGTCAGCGCCCCGTGCAGTCTGTGAGTAGTTTGGACAGTGACTCGTATCCGGTTGACGCAGTAGTTGATGAGGATGGCTTCGTGTGCAGGTGGAGTCTCCGGACCTCGGTCCCCGCCTAATTCTGTTCAAGAGCTAATCTCCAATCCTTTCGAAAGGAGAAGTTTGGCAGATAAAATAAGACCTTGGACCGGACCAACCCGATTTGAATATATCGCAGCAATCTCGTGAAAAAGACAAAACTTATACACGAGGCTTCGCAAGTAGCTGGTACACAAAAAAGGCTTGGCTAGCTGGATGCAAACAGGTAAATGCTGTCTTTTGTTTCCCATGCTTGGATATCACTTTATATGTAGAGAGGAGGTTTCCCATGGTTGTTAGAAGTTTATTAATAAGTGGGCATTTATCACAGAAGTGATTGTTCTGTCTCCACGTTTGTTGCATTGTCTGTGATGTATTTTCCAACGGTTATAGCTCCTGTCCTGTCCCAGCAACACTACACGGTTTCCAGCAACACTACACGGTTTGCAGCTCCACCACATTTTTGGTTTATCTTCGGTGTCGCTTAAAATCTGCTTCCCATCGGACTAAAACCTCCACGTAATCTGAAGACAGATACTTGAAGTTATTTAAACCTTTTGCAAACTTTATGTTCTTTCTTGCTCTAGCCTTGCCAGTTACATTGTACATAACACATATATTATCATTATGCTAACTGGTTGTTCGTGTTAGACGATGTAGCTTTTTCATTTCTGAGTTATTGCTATATGTAAATAAGCCTGTTTGTAAATAATCCTCAGAGAAACAAAGAAAAAACACAATTTATGACATTTTGTGCTGTGGTTATTTTTTTTAAATTGCATTTATTCACAGTTCAGTTTGAAATGCTGTAGTGACTTGTATTGAACCACTTAAATATTTATAATTAATGCTACTGAAAAGATGCTATTAATTTTATATCCCACATGCAGTTCACTGTAAAGCTACTTGGTGGAGGTGTTGGTTCATAAAACATGAACAGTTTTAAGAAAGAAAAAAACAGACCAGTTCTGAGAACACAAATTCCTGGTAAAGTAGTAGATGTTCAGGTTGATAAATAATATTTTCCACACTGAAGATTATGGAGGTATTGATCAGTCTTCTCATATTTTTAAGCCTCGATTTCTCCTTTCCCCCCCCCCTCTAACATCACCAGAAGTCATCATTTAAGGGGTCATTTCTCGAAAAAAGATTCTGGGGGGAAACCCCCCGGACCCCCCGGGTAGGTCACTTACGGTACGTCAAGAGCCCCACCAAAAAAAAAGACCACCGGCCGCCACTGCTGTTGACCACCAAGTGCTCCTTACAAAGCTGACTAATTTCAATGCAAATGTATGCCGATGATGCGGTCATCTTTGTACACGGGAAGAACACTGAAATGATCTCATCCTGTCTCTCAAATGCTTTGGACAAAGTTCACCACTGGCTGAACAACATTTGCTTACAGTTAAATGCAAAAAACCAGTATGCATGATGTTCAGTAAACGACCAGTCAAAATCAAAGGATCCAATGTGTTTTTAAACAGAGCAGAAATAGAACTGGTCTCCCACTTCAAGTATCTTGGAGTCATACTGGACTCGAACTTGACTTTTAAGAAACATATTAAGAAAGTATCCAATACCGTTAAATTCAACTTGCAACATTTTAAACAAATCAGACCTTTCTTAACTGTCAATGCTGCAAAGTCATACCTCCACTGTATGATTCTATCCCACATTGAATACTGTTTTACAAACTGGTCGTTTGCTTGTGCCACAAACCTGAAACCCATAGAACAGCTGTGAGAGAGAGCTATCAAGGTGTTTGACAGAAAGCCATATTCATACCACCACTGTGCCATCCTTGATAAACACAATTTCTTGAGTTTTGATAATTTTAAGTCTTTTAAAAGTATGTGTTGTATTTATAAATGTTTACGTGGACTGCCCTGTATCTCCTCTCCTTTAACTCAGGGGTATCTCCTCTCCTTTAACTCAGGGGTATCTCCTCTCCTTTAACTCAGGGGTATCTCCTCTCCTTTAACTCGGGGGTATCTCCTCTCCTTTAACTCGGGGGTATCTCCTCTCCTTTAACTCGGGGGTATCTCCTCTCCTTTAACTCGGGGGTATCTCCTCTCCTTTAACTCGGGGGTATCTCCTCTCCTTTAACTCGGGGGTATCTCCTCTCCTTAACTCGGGGGTATCTCCTCTCCTTTAACTCGGGGTATCTCCTCCCTCCTTTAACTCGGGGGTATCTCCTCTCCTTTAACTCAGGGGTATCTCCTCTCCTTTAACTCGGGGGTATCTCCTCTCCTTTAACTCGGGGGTATCTCCTCTCCTTTAACTCGGGGGTATCTCCTCTCCTTTAACTCAGGGGTATCTCCTCTCCTTTAACTCAGGGGTATCTCCTCTCCTTTAACTCAGGGGTATCTCCTCTCCTTTAACTCAGGGGTATCTCCTCTCCTTTAACTCGGGGGTATCTCCTCTCCTTTAACTCAGGGGTATCTCCTCTCCTTTAACTCAGGGGTATCCCCTCTCCTTTAACTCAGGGGTATCTCCTCCTGCCCTTTATATACCCCTAGCTGCTACAGTGTGCTGCCAGGTGGTAAATACTTGTGTGCTGCTCTTGCTCTTTCTGCATATCATGTATTTGTTGTTGCTATGGTTATAAATGTCATGTTCTTATATGTTGTATGTGAGGGACTACGGATGGAAATGAGCTCAGAGCTCAAATCCGGCATGTTTACACTTGAAGCATCCTTTGTCCTAAGTGCTCATCAAAGTGCACGGTCCCTGTTCAAATAAACGATTACATGAAATGAAAAAAGGTGTACAGGAAGTGCAGGTGAGTAATGTCGTGTTAAATGTTCATATAATCATTTCAATAAAATATATAGATTATGTCTTATACTCTGATAAATTGTAGTTTTAGTCCTATATGTGTTTAACAGAGACAGATGTTTAGGATGGACTTTTCAGGAAGAGCAAAAGGTGGATTTGGACTGGAGGGTTTCATGGTTTCATGGTGGAATGTTTAGATGATGCCTCAGAGAATTGAAGGGTGGGACCAGTTGGGTATCTTCTCTCTAATACACAGAGAGACTGTGAGCAGAGCTTCTCTCTCCTCTGAGGAGGAAGCTGCTCTGTTCCTGCATTTCAGATCCATTTCACTTTATACTGACTTTCTTTATTACTTTATTAAATATAACAAAAGACAAACTTTGTCCATGAAACATGTATCAGTGTCTCAGGAGGTGCAGGTGAGTGTACCTGCTGGATTAATACAGGTCCATCTTATCTCATGGTATCTCATCTTGTACCTGCTGGCTGCTGCTGATCTCCAGGACCCTGCTGATCTCCCTCAGGTCTCTCGTCACCTCCTTCAGCAGCAGCTTCAGACGGTTCCCGATCACGTGCACTTTCTCTTTGGCCTCCAGACAGTCGCTGCCCTGAGCGTGCACGAGCAGCTGCAGAGACATGTCCTGCAGAGAGGACACCTTCAGCTGGGAGTCCAGCAGCTCCTGGCGGATCACCTGGGACACGTTCAGAAAGATATGTGTTACTTCAGTCCTGTGCTTCAAATCTGAGAGTATCTGTTCAAAACCCACTCAAACAAACCTCCTGCAGGTAGTGTGTGCATTGTTTGGACTCACTGTGCAGTGTATCAGCTGTGCTGTTGTTATTATTGTTATGCATTGAATATAATACGAAATATCTTAAATAAAAGGGTCAGTAAAGGGTGGTGTAGTTTCAGTACCGTGAGGGTCTTGTGGTGCAGATGTTGATGGGTTATGTAGTTATAGTACCGTGAGGGCCTTGTGGTGCAGATGTTGTGTTACCGTGAGGGCCTTGTGGTGCAGATGTTGTGTTACCGTGAGGGCCTTGTGGTGCAGATGTTGTGTTACCGTGAGGGCCTTGTGGTGGTCCTGCAGGGTCTCCCGGTCCCTCCCCGGGTCCAGGGGCAGCAGCTGGTTCCTCCTCCGGTCGATGTTCTCCAGCCAGAGCAGCAGGCCGTGGCTCATCTCGTGGAAGTCCTGAGGAGACACGATGCAGGGCGTGTTTCACTTCCTTTCACAGGGTCAGGTCAGGGTTATAATGTGAGAACACACCAATCAAATGTCTCCTCCAAAGTCACATGAGCACGCCAACACCGGGTGGAACATTCTGTGGGGGTGGTCCTGACATTTGTTAATCTATCTGTTTCCTGTCTGACTGAGGACAGTATTTACCTGACACTGCATGAGCGCCCCCTGCAGGCCGGCCCTCCACTCCTCCAGAGCCCCCCCCAGCCGCTCCCAGCTGTTGTTCATGTCCTTCAGTCGGGCCGTCAGCTCCCGGCTCTCCTCGCTGTCCGGATGCAGGAACTCTGAGCTGCACAGGTTCACCGACAGAACGATGGCTTTACGCTTATCGTACGCCTTCTGCAGCTCCTACACACACACACACACACACACGCACACGCACACGCACACGCACACGCACACGCACACGCACACGCACACGCACACGCACACACACACACACACACACACACACACACACACACACACACACACACACACACACACACACACACATAATGGAAAAGTTGGAGAGGAGGAAGGGATGGAGGGATTTAGTTTCTCTTAAAATAGGATGGGATGTCTTTTTGTCTGTTTGTTTTTCTGCGAGTGTTGTTTCTATGTTTGTTAACCTGTAAAGAAAGGGAAATAGAAAGATAATGACAGCAGGGCAGTAGCTTGAGCTTGTGGATGTTTTCTATATTTCACACCTTTAATATATGCCTAGAAACAGTATAATAGGAGCCCTTTAAAGCATCCGAACAGGGGTACCTTGAGCTTGTGGATGCGCTGCTGGATGTCCTGGATGTCTGAGCTGACCTCCAGCCTCCTCTGCTGCTGCAGCTCCTCCTCCGCCCCCCCCAGCCAGCTGCACACCTTCAGCAGGTCTGAGGTCAGCTGCTGCTCCTGCTGCTGGCTCTGCTTCCTGCGCAGCTGCCGGCTGGCGTCCTGCGCCTGCAGCAGCTCCCAGCGCTCGATCACTCCTGCAGGAACACACACATTTACTCTCAGTTCAACTTGAATCTGTGCACCGGCAAACAGATGTAGTGTCTATACAACAATCTTTCTTCTCTGCAGCAGCTCCAGTGCTCAATCACTCCTGCAGAGAAACACACTTTTACTTTCAATTATTCCCTGCACCGGGAAACAGATTTACTGTCAATGCATCAAACTGCTGCAGTATTATCACATGTATCTGCAGTATTATCACATGTATCTGCAGTATTATCACATGTATCTGCAGTATTATCACATGTATCTGTAGTATTATCACATGTATCTGCAGTATTATCACATATATCTGGAGTATTATCACATGTATCTGTAGTATTATCACATGTATCTGCAGTATTATCACATGTATCTGTAGTATTATCACATATATCTGCAGTATTATCACATGTATCTGTAGTATTATCACATGTATCTGCAGTATTATCACATGTATCTGTAGTATTATCACATATATCTGCAGTATTATCACATGTATCTGCAGTATTATCACATGTATCTGTAGTATTATCACATGTATCTGTAGTATTATCACATGTATCTGTAGTATTATCACATGTATCTGTAGTATTATCACATGTATCTGTAGTATTATCACATGTATCTGCAGTATTATCACATGTATGTGATACATGTATCTGCAGTATTTGTATAGTAGTACTGCAGAATACTCACCAGAGGTCTGGGACTCTGAGCTGGGGTCTATCAGTCCGGCCCCCCCCTCCTCTTCCTCCTTCAGCTCGCAGCCCATCTTCCTCACCGTGTCGATGGAGCCGCGACACTCCCCCAGCAGACGCATCTGAGGAGCCAAGCTAACTCATTATAATAAATACTTTAGTCCTCTCATTAGAGCTAAAGACAAACACACTTGGCTGTGAAATACATCCCTAAATAATGCACTAAGTAAATACATGAATGGACAATTAAACTAAAATGTCTAAGTATGTAAATAACTAAAAATATAAATAAATGTACCTGAATAAAATAAATAAATAAATATCTGTATTATATTATCGTTTGATTATAATAGATCCCCTAAAATAAAAACAAGAAGCTCGGCTGCATCCGCTCTCACGGATCAGTGTTAGTAATAACGTACGTATCCCAGGTACGAGGCGTCCTGATCGGCTCCACTCAGCGGGGGGGCGTCTGCAGAGGCTGCCTCTCCTGAACACACACACACACACACACACTGATCAGATTGTATAAAACACACACTGTGTCATAGCTTAAAGCACCTCTAGGACCCAGGAGAGGAGGCGTTCAGACAGAGGAGCAGATGTGAACCAGCTTCTGAACAAAGACCTGTTTTAGCATCAATTCAAACTATTTCATATTATTATAACTATTGATGCATTCCAGAACAGATCCTGTGTTTCCTTCGCTCTGTGTGGACGAGCCTCAGAGTGACAGGTTCCTGTGAACAGATCTGCAGACGTGTTCACAGGAACACACACACACAACACAACAAACACACACACACACACCGGAGGTTAGCTACAGCCGCACTGCAAACCAACGAAGAAGAAGAAGAAGAAGAAGCCGTTAGACAGAAACTGAGTGAGGCTGCATCCCATTCCACAGGGAGGGATTGGGATGGAGCCTAAACCCCGGGTTAGGAAGTGTGTGTCCAGAAACACAGAGAAATCAAAGTGTGTGTGTCCAGAGAGATGAGGAGAAATCAACGTGTGTGTCTAGAGAAACACAGATAAATCATAGCATGTGTGTGTGTGTGTGTGTGTGTGTGTGTGTGTGTGTGTGTGTGTGTGTGTCCAGAGAGAAACAGAGAAATCAAAGTGTGTGAGACTCCATGCTGCTTCCTACCAGAGGAGGACCTCAGAGTTTGCTCAGTGACTCTAACAAAGGCCTCGGGGCTCTCTGGGATCTCTACATCTGCAAAATACACATTTACAGGAACACACTCAGGACCACAGGCTGACACTGGAGGAAGATGGAGGACATCACAGAATACTCAATATGTTGTGAGAGCTGTTCACCTCACGCCTGCTGTGTGTCTCAGTGTGTATAATGTGTAACTGCTTTCACTCTGCTCAGCGTCACCAGCTTCACCTCGCTGTGCGGCTCTCTCTCTGGTGTGTGTGTGTGTCTCAGTGTGTGTGTGTGGTCAGTGTGTGTGTCTCAGGTGTGTGTGTGTGTGTCTCAGTGTGTGTGTGTGTGTGTCTCAGTTGTGTGTGTGTGTGTGTGTCTCAGTGTGTGTGTGTGTGTCTCAGTGTGTGTGTGTGTGTTGTGTGTGTGTGTGTGTGTGTGTCTCAGTGTGTGTGTGTGTCTGTGTGTGTGTCTCAGTGTGTGTGTGTGTCTCAGTGTGTGTGTGTGTGTGTGTGTGTGTCTCAGTGTGTGTGTGTGTCTGTGTGTGTGTCTCAGTGTGTGTGTCTCAGTGTGTGTGTCTCAGTGTGTGTGTGTGTGTGTGTGTGTGTCTCAGTGTGTGTGTCTCAGTGTGTGTGTGTCTCAGTGTGTGTGTGTGTCTCAGTGTGTGTGTGCGTGTGTGTGTGTGTCTCAGTGTATGTGTGTGTGTGTGTCTCAGTGTGTGTGTGTGTGTCTCTCAGTGTGTGTGTCTCAGTGTGTGTGTTTCAGTGTGCGTGTCTCAGTGTGTGTGTGTCTCAGTGTGTGTGTCTCAGTGTGTGTGTGTCTCAGTGTGTGTGTGTCTCAGTGTGTGTGTGTGTGTCTCAGTGTGTGTGTGTGTGTCTCTCATGTGTGTGTGTGTCTCAGTGTGTGTGTTTCAGTGTGCGTGTCTCAGTGTGTGTGTGTCTCAGTGTGTGTGTCTCAGTGTGTGTGTGTCTCAGTGTGTGTGTGTCTCAGTGTGTGTGTGTGTGTCTCAGTGTGTGTGTGTGTGTCTCTCAGTGTGTGTGTCTCAGTGTGTGTGTTTCAGTGTGCGTGTCTCAGTGTGTGTGTGTCTCAGTGTGTGTGTGTCTCAGTGTGTGTGTGTCTCAGTGTGTGTGTGTCTCAGTGTGTGTGTGTGTGTCTCAGTGTGTGTGTGTGTGTCTCTCAGTGTGTGTGTCTCAGTGTGTGTGTTTCAGTGTGCGTGTCTCAGTGTGTGTGTGTCTCAGTGTGTGTGTCTCAGTGTGTGTGTGTCTCAGTGTGTGTGTGTCTCAGTGTGTGTGTGTGTGTCTCAGTGTGTGTGTGTGTGTGTCTCTCAGTGTGTGTGTCTCAGTGTGTGTGTTTCAGTGTGCGTGTCTCAGTGTGTGTGTGTCTCAGTGTGTGTGTCTCAGTGTGTGTGTGTCTCAGTGTGTGTGTGTGTGTCTCAGTGTGTGTGTGTGTGTCTCTCAGGTGTGTGTGTCTCAGTGTGTGTGTTTCAGTGTGCGTGTCTCAGTGTGTGTGTGTCTCAGTGTGTGTGTCTCAGTGTGTGTGTGTCTCAGTGTGTGTGTGTTTCAGTGTGTGTGTCTCAGTGTGTGTGTCTCAGTGTGCGTGTCTCAGTGTGTGTGTGTCTCAGTGTGTGTGTCTCAGTGTGTGTGTGTCTCAGTGTGTGTGTGTGTCTCAGTGTGTGTGTCTCAGTGTGTGTGTCTCAGTGTGTGTGTCTCAGTGTGTGTGTCTCAGTGTGTGTGTCTCAGTGTGTGTGTCTCAGTGTGTGTGTGTCTCAGTGTGTGTGTCTCAGTGTGTGTGTGGTGTGTGTGTCTCAGTGTGTGTGTGTGTGTGTGTGTGTGTCTCAGTGTGTGTGTCTCAGTGTGTGTGTCTCAGTGTGTGTGTGTGTGTGTGTGTGTGTCTCAGTGTGTGTGTGTGTGTGTGTGTGTGTCTCAGTGTGTGTGTGTGTCTCAGTGTGTGTGTCTCAGTGTGTGTGTGTGTGTGTCTCAGTGTGTGTGTCTCAGTGTGTGTGTGTGTGTGTCTCAGTGTGTGTGTCTCAGTGTGTGTGTGTCTCAGTGTGTGTGTCTCAGTGTGTGTGTTTCTCTCAGTGTGTGTGTGTGTCTCAGTGTGTGTGTCTCAGTATGTGTGTGTGTGTTTCAGAGTGTGTGTGTGTGTTTCAGAGTGTGTGTGTTTCAGAGTGTGTGTGTGTGTCTCAGTGTGTGTGTCTCAGTGTGTGTGTGTCTCAGTGTGTGTGTCTCAGTGTGTGTGTTTCAGAGTGTGTGTGTCTCAGAGTGTGTGTCCCCTCACCTCTCAGCAGGAAGTCCCCCTCCTCTCTCTCCGTCTCTCTCTCCAGTCCCCGGCTCAGATCGTAGTCGTGGTCCCACTCCAGAGGGATGGAGTCCACGCTGGCCGGTGTGTCTCTGCCTGATCTCTCTCCTCTCTCTCCTCTCAGCTGAGCAGAGCGCCCCCCGGAGGACGGGAGGGGCGACAGCAAGCCGTCCCCCAGACGCTCGCCGCCCCCCCACGGACCCCCGGACACATCGCACGCCTCATCCAGATCCAGCTCCCGGTCCGAGAGAGAGACCTCGGTGTCGTCGTCCGCCAGCTGCACGGAAACACAGATAGAGAGAGATACATATTAGAGATATCATGTGACATGTTACATAGATGCAGGACTACATGTAGACCTGCAGGACAACAGTAGAGCTATACAGAGAAACATTCATTAGCTAACAATGACATTATTGTTCTATTAATATAAAGGGAGGTCAGGTACTCTTTAAAACAGCTGCTAGTTATGGGTACTTTTTACTGAAGTACATTTCAAAGCCCTCTTTACTTTGACTTGAGTAAAGAAGTTTAGTCAGTACTTCTACTTTTACCAGAGTATTTTTAAACACGAGTATCTGTACTTCTACTTGAGTAAGGGATGTGTGTACTTCTACTTGAGTAAAGGATGTGTGTACTTCTACTTGAGTATAGGATGTGTGTACTTCTACTTGAGTACAGGATGTGTGTACTTCTACTTGAGTACAGGATGTGTGTACTTCTACTTGAGTACAGGATGTGTGTACTTCTACTTGAGTACAGGATGTGTGTACTTCTACTTGAGTACAGGATGTGTGTACTTCTACTTGAGTACAGGATGTGTGTACTTCTACTTGAGTAAAGGATGTGTGTACTTCTACTTGAGTACAGGATGTGTGTACTTCTACTTGAGTACAGGATGTGTGTACTTCTACTTGAGTACAGGATGTGTGTACTTCTACTTGAGTACAGGATGTGTGTACTTCTACTTGAGTACAGGATGTGTGTACTTCTACTTGAGTAAAGGATGTGTGTACTTCTACTTGAGTAAAGGATGTGTGTACTTCTACTTGAGTACAGGATGTGTGTACTTCTACTTGAGTACAGGATGTGTGTACTTCTACTTGAGTACAGGATGTGTGTACTTCTACTTGAGTAAAGGATGTGTGTACTTCTACTTGAGTACAGGATGTGTGTACTACTACTTGAGTACAGGATGTGTGTACTTCTACTTGAGTAAAGGATGTGTGTACTTCTACTTGAGTACAGGATGTGTGTACTTCTACTTGAGTACAGGATGTGTGTACTTCTACTTGAGTACAGGATGTGTGTACTTCTGCTTGAGTACAGGATGTGTGTACTTCTACTTGAGTACAGGATGTGTGTACTTCTGCCCTCTCTGCAGATATTAATTTTAGGATTCTTAAAATGTGGTCTCTGGTCTCTCACCGGCAGGCGGATCAGCTTCCTGTAGTACCGCTCCACCCTCCCGAACACCTCCTGGCAGTACCTCTGCAGCTCCTCCAGCTCCTCCTCCATCACAGCTGAGTCCAGAGGCTCGCTCTTCTCCATCAGAGCCTCCCCCTGCTGGAAGATCTGAGAGATCCTCCCTGTGGTGAGGGAGATCTCCTGCTGGAAGGACTGCAACACACACACTCATCATCAACAAGCTCTGCACTGTGACACACACACACACACACACACTCATCATCAACAAGCTCTGCACTGTGACACACACACGCACACACACACTCATCATCAACAAGCTCTGCACTGTGACACACACACGCGCGCACACACTCATCATCAACAAGCTCTGCACTGTGACACACACACGCACACACACACACACACACACTCATCATCAACAAGCTCTGCACTGTGACACACACACACACACACACACACACACACACACACACACACACACACACACACACACACACACACACACACACACACACACACACACACACACACACACACACACACACACACACACACACACACACACACACACACACACACACACACACACACACACTTTTCTGATGCAGAATTCCTGATCAGTTCTAATGAATGAATGTCCTCGTGTGCGGAGAGACATGTGACAGAGAGAGAAGCTGCTCACACACATCTGATGGCCAACGGTTGTGTGTTGTGTGTGTGTGTGTGTGTGTGTGTGTGTGTGTGTGTGTGTGTGGTGTGTGTGTGTGTGTGTGTGTGTGTGGTGTGTGTGTGTGTGTGTGTGTGTTAGCGTCCCTAGAGCAAGTGGTACTGCTCTGCATGATATTAATACTAATATATGAGATCCTTTTATTTGAAATCTGAAACTAATCCATATTTTCATTATGGATTTCTTTGCAGTCTGTACAGAAAAAATGATATGCAATAAAGTGTTTTAAATGTTTTCCAGTAATCTCTAGTGTTGGCATGTAAAAAATAAAGTGATGTTGTTGTTGTGTCAAATACGTTCACTTGAATGTGATGTATGAAAGATCCTTTTGACTTCAACCAGCTGGAGAGGAGATAAGAGCTGCTGCACTAACGCTGATCTGATCAACAACATATTGATGACATCCAGAGTTACAACACATGTACATATGAACATGTGTTGGCTGTTGTTTTTTTAATCTAAGATGTCCAACAATCAAGGCTGCAACTAATTATTAATATGAGTATAAAATAACTTTAATAATATTTTCATTATCGATTAATCTAATCAAAAAGAAAGCAGCACATTTCCAGATGTGAGAGGCTGCATTTAAAGACTTTAATGATTCATTGATGAATACTAATGTTTGCAGCTCGTAGACGTTCTTAAATGCCACCCTGTCTCAATCTGACACCCTGCTGCGGTGAAGCCTCACCCTGAGCTGCTTGATCTTGGCCTGGATGTCACACTCTGAGAAATGTTCGATGTTGGTCAGCTGCAGGTCCATCTCCGTCAGCCACACCAGGATGGAGTCTCTGGACGTCTCAAAGTCCTCCCTCTGACCTGTGAAGTGCTGCAGGGGGGGGAGAGGGAATCATGCACACAGCTCAGTGAGTGGTACCCTACATGTGATCATACAGAGACACTTACGCTACTTCAAGAGACAGAGGAACATTCAGAACACGTGGACAACAAGCTGTACGATATTTATCAAACTAAACGGAACACCTGAGGACGCCGAAGTATTGTTCTTCAGAAATATGGAGGATCTGGAAAAAATACCAATAACATCAGATGCGGCTTTTCACACCAGCGCTTTTCCCTTTCTAGCTCCTAGCTAGAGCTTTTCTGGTTCAGCTCTGGTTTCCCCTTTTCAGCTCCCGCTCTGTTCACACCGCCCAGATGTTAGCATAGCAACCGAAGCTAAACTGACTACTTGCTAAGCCGTTTTCTACAGGCACATTTTACCGGCGTATTTTTCATTATGATTCTACTTGTGATAGTCGGACATGACATCCTGTGCAGCCCATGTATTGATTCCATCCGATAGCTGCTATAATAACAAACAAAACGTCTGCCTGCTCTCCACAATGATCAATAACAGCGAACGGATGGTCAAAGTAAGGTACAAATAAACAGAATCACACGAAGCCTGGTTAGTGTTGCCTGACTTTATAAAGCGTGTTTTTTTTTTTTATAAGTGTGTGGTTGCCTTCTAGTCACTTTGCTCAGCGCTACTGCTTGTAGGCAGGCATGACGAGACTCTCCAGTCGACCCATGTTCAGGGGAGGTGGGCTTAGTTTCCTGCACGCCTCGACGTAAGAGAGACGTAAGCGACGCCGCGTCATAGCTCCGAAGCTCTTGCCTCTAGACCGACAATTTTTTGGAGCTGGAAGTGAACCGGATTCCGGAGCTATGACGCGGCGCCGCTGCGGTGTGAACAGGAAAAAACGGCGCTTTTCCAGCTCCAGCTCTGAAAGGGGCAAGAGACAGTTTCCTCCCTCAGGCCAGGGGCGGACTGGCCATCGGGACGTTCGGGACGAATCCCGATGGGCCGGTACTGAAGTGGGCCGGTCGGACGATGTGGGCCGCTCGGATAAGTCACTAGCACCCCCCCCCCCCCGTTAGTAATTTACCGAGGTGGGCCGGCGGTACCAAAGTGGGCCGGTCGAGAGTCCCGGGCTGATTTGTAGTCCCAGTCCGCCCCTGCCTCAAGCCATCAGACTGTTAAACACCTGAACTCTGTGAAGAGCATCCAGAACATCCATCCGTCTGCATCTGGCTGAGTATTGATCCGTCTGCATCTGGCTGAGTATTGATCCGTCTGCATCTGGCTGAGTATTGATCCGTCTGCATCTGGCTGAGTATTGATCCATCTGCATCGGGCTGAGTATTGATCCGTCTGCATCTGGCTGAGTATTGATCCGTCTGCATAAGGCTGAGTATTGATCCATCTGCATCGGGCTGAATATTGATCCGTCTGCATCTGGCTGAGTATTGATCTGTCTGCATCTGGCTGAGTATTGATCTAATATATCAGATTCCATGTACTTGTATACAGACTCTTCCTGCACTATTTTATCAGTTGTATTAGTTCTATGTCCTATATATATATATATATGTCCAGTTTCTTCCCCTCTGCTACAATGCACACAATATCTTTTTTAATAACTGCACATATTTTATTCCATTCTATTTCAATATAAATACTGCTATATTTTACTATATTTTCTATTATGTTGTAATGTTATTATAGTCTCATCTGTGTATATGTATGCACCACGACGTCAAGTGAACTTCCTCCTACGTGTGGACCTACCTGGTGGTAAAACAGTTTTGAATTCTGACCCTGATATATTCATGTTGCTCTGCTGGAGGACAGTTTCCACTGATGTATCTACACTGTATCTGCTGAGCACACGGTGAGAGCACCTTGAATTGACTTGTCTGACCTTGAGTCGTCTCAGGATGGAGTTGACCCTCCTCTGCAGGGCGTCCCAGCGCAGGTTGGCTCCCTGGCTCTTCTCCCTCAGGAGAGAGGATGTGTCGGTGCGGTTCTCCCGGGCCAGGCGCCGGTACTGTTTGTTGATGAGCTCCAGCTGGGTCAGGCTCTCATGGACCTGCCTCTGGAAGGACTGCAGCACACACAGGGTTAATCACCAGAAGCACCTCCTGCTCTCAGTGTTTTATATTCTCCCAGAGTGTTTCTTCACCTCGAACTTCTTCATCTCCTCCTTGGCCACGGTGTACAGGACCCCCGAGGAGTTGGGCAGCGCCGCGGTTCTCTCCGAGGAGACGAGCCACTCCTCAAACCGGGAGAAGTCCTCCAGGAACTTCTGCCACAGACGCCACGTCTCCTCGATCCTGACGGGGACACGTTACGTTACAAACAATAAAAACAGCAGCGTTCAACAAATACTTCATTAGAAATCATCAAGACGTTCACCGTGCTTTCTGATTTGTTCTCAGGTAAACACAGAACTGAAACTAGTCTTTCACACATTGGAGCTCCATCCATACCTTCTTCTTACTTTCTTAGATGTGCACCCTGCTGCAGACACAGTGACCAGACTATGAACAAACTCAAATGCTCTCTCTCTCTCTCTCTAAGGCCACTAAATACGTAGCTTGTCCTGCAGGAGCACCTCCACTAACTTGTTGTCCCTGTGTGCACATGGTGTCAGGTCTCAGTAGAGCAGTTTACAGGATTATGAAGATCAAAACGTGCACGCCTTTAAATGCTGAGAACAGTGGGATTCATGGTGCAGAACACTAGCTTTAAGAACACATCATATATATGTGCATGAGGCTCCATGCCCTGCGTGACATGATAACAAAGGTATCCCAACTGTAGCTGTGTGCATGACAGGATGTATGATTACCTAGAAGAGCATCAGGACTGTTTGAGGCATATGATAGCTATGTGATTAACATGATGATTCAGCCTCTATGGAGATAGACATATGACAAGCATGCTCATTTCTGACGTGGAGCTAATCTGAAGTAAACATTGAATACTGCTTTCTATTCCTCCATCTTGTGACTGTGTAACTCCCTCTCTTGGATATCAGCATGTGAAGGACACTGTTCAGGAACTAGTTGATGCTCTGTATGTGATGACTACTTCCATTCTGGAGAGGATCACAGATACATGGATCCTGAGATTGAAGATCAAGCCGGGGACGAGTGAGAGTTTCCTGACAGATCTTTAATGTTCTGTCCCTCACCTGAGCCTCCTCTCCATGGACAGGGCACAGATGCTCCTCCAGCGGCGGTCCAGACACCGGGTGGCGCTCTGGATGGAGTCACACTCAGCGTCCGTGCTGCAGGCGTCACAGTCGTGCAGCAGAACCTCGCACAGATTCAGAACCGACGCCACGCCCGTGCTGTGCTTCTCGATGTCGCGCTGCAGCTCCTGGAGGAACACAGGGATTTGAGCTGCTGCAGACCATTCACATGCACTAACACCCATATAACACACTACAGGAGAATGCCTTTTTACATATTAAAGTATTGAAATGTCACCTGCTGCAGGTCCAGCTTCCTCTGGATCTCGTTGGCGTCGCAGCTCTCGAACACGAGCGGTCTGGAGAGTTCTGTCTCGATGTGAGCGAGCCAGCATCTCAGACTGTTCATGTTCTTATCCAGCTGCTGCACCGCCACCAGGGTCTCACGCAGCTTCTTCACCCTGCACACACGCACACACACACACACACATTAAACTACGTCAGGGTCTAATGCAAGAAAAAGCTGTAGTTTTTCCCCAAATATCCCCAAAACCCTGAGAAAGTACCTGAGATTGGGAAGGATAAATACATTGGAAACCCCAAAAAAAGAACAAATTAAAGCAAACATATAGTAATAAACACACACACATGTTTGTGTGTGTGTGTGTGTGTGTGTGTGTGTGTGTGTGTGTGTGTGTGTGTGTGTGTGTCACCGTGCTCCCACCAGGTCCAGTAGGTGTCTCAGTGTGTGTGTGTGTGTGTGTGTGTGTGTGTGTGTGTGTGTGTGTGTGTGTGTGTGTGTGTGTGTCACCGTGCTCCCACCAGGTCCAGTAGGTGTCTCAGTGTGTGTGTGTGTGTGTGTGTGTGTGTGTGTGTGTGTGTGTGTGTGTGTGTGTGTGTGTGTGTGTGTGTGTGTGTGTGTGTCTCACCATGCTCCCACCAGGTCCAGCAGGTGTCTCAGTGTGTGTGTGTGTGTGTGTGTGTGTGTGTGTGTGTGTGTGTGTGTGTGTGTGTGTGTGTGTCTCACCGTGCTCCCACCAGGTCCAGCAGGTGTCTCCAGCGCTCGTTGACCTTGCTCAGTTTGCTCTGGATGTCAGCAGCTCTGCAGGAGGGGCTGTTTCTGCTGAGTCTCTCCCCGAGGAGCTGCAGCTGCTGCTTGTTCTCCTCAGAGACGCTGATCTCCTCCTGGTAGTCCTGAGAAACACACACACATGGTACAGTGAGTGAAAGAGTCAGTCAGCGAACAGAAATATAAAAGGATAGTGAACATGTGTCTCTGTTTTTTATAAATGAATATGTTAGATGTAAACAGAAGTGAGCTCCCTGCCGCTTAAGAACAGGTAGAGTGAAGACTCTTTGAGAGAAGGTAATGACACTATCAATACAAACTAAATACAAACCACTGCAAACACGACTTAAAGCTCCAGGCATCAAATTAGACAAACATATTAAGTGACATTTAAATACTTTATTTGACTTCCTCTGCAGGAAGTCATCTCATAAATCATGTTTCTATCAGACGCAGGAAGTGATTTAACTGAGGAAACAGATGTAGAATGAATGTGTGTGTGTGTGTGTGTATGTGTGTGTGTGTGTGTGTGTGTGTGTGTGTACCTTGCGCAGCTTGTCGATCATCTCCTCGATGCTGATGTCTCCGTTCTCAGACACCTTGCTCTCCATGTGGGTGAGCCACTCACACAGGTCCTTGTACTTCTCGCTGAACACCGTCCACTCGTTCAGTTTCTCCCCGAGAGTCTGCCGCCGGAGAGAGAGCTGCAACACGACGTTCAGGTTAACACACACACACACACAATACACACTGCAGAGCAACAACCAGGTTAACACACACACACACACTGCAGAAACACTAACACTATCTGTGTGCGCAGCTGCAGACAGAGTGACAGGCGGAAGTGTGTGAGGGTTAGCATGCAGCTGAGAGTGTGTGAGGGTTTGCATGCAGCTGAGAGTGTGTGAGGGTTAGCATGCAGCTGAGAGTGTGTGAGGGTTAGCATGCAGCTGAGAGTGTGTGAGGGTTTGCATGCAGCTGAGAGTGTGTGAGGGTTTGCATGCAGCTGAGAGTGTGTGAGGGTTAGCATGCAGCCGAGAGTGTGTGAGGGTTTGCATGCAGCTGAGAGTGTGTGAGGGTTTGCATGCAGCTGAGAGTGTGTGAGGGTTTGCATGCAGCCGAGAGTGTGTGAGGGTTTGCATGCAGCTGAGAGTGTGTGAGGGTTTGCATGCAGCTGAGAGTGTGTGAGGGTTAGCATGCAGCTGAGAGTGTGTGAGGGTTTGCATGCAGCTGAGAGTGTGTGAGGGTTTGCATGCAGCTGAGAGTGTGTGAGGGTTTGCATGCAGCCGAGAGTGTGTGAGGGTTTGCATGCAGCTGAGAGTGTGTGAGGGTTTGCATGCAGCTGAGAGTGTGTGAGGGTTAGCATGCAGCTGAGAGTGTGTGAGGGTTAGCATGCAGCTGAGAGTGTGTGAGGGTTAGCATGCAGCTGAGAGTGTGTGAGGGTTTGCATGCAGCTGAGAGTGTGTGAGGGTTAGCATGCAGCTGAGAGTGTGTGAGGGTTAGCATGCAGCTGAGAGTGTGTGAGGGTTAGCATGCAGCTGAGAGTGTGTGAGGGTTTGCATGCAGCTGAGAGTGTGTGCTTCCTGTCAGAGTAATGTCTGACAGGAAGCAGCTCTGTTACAGCCTGAGGTTAACGCTGCACGACAGAAACCACTGCAGACAGGAGAGGAACTTTTTTAAAAGAGCTCACAGCCTCTTCTGAGCCGATGAGGAGAAAACAGACGGATGACTTCTCATCAACTAGCTGGATTTAATGTTGACTCGTACTAAAGTAGAAGTCTTTGATTGAGTTTCCAGCTCCATCGTGTGGTCAGAAACTGAATGTGAATCAGCTGATCATGAAAGCAGCGTGGAATATATACAGTACACACATATATTATATATATATATATATATATATATATATATATATATATATATATATACACAGTTTATATACACAGTGTGTACCTGATGGCAGATCTCATCCCACTGCCGGTGCAGCAGCTCCATCCTCTCTGTCAGGACGTTCAGGTCCTCGCTGCTGATGAAGCGGCTCAGAGACTCTTTGAGGACCGTGAGGTGGGCCAGGTCCCCGGGCCAGGAGGAGAAGGCCTGCTCCAGGTCCTGTCAGAGACATACAAACTGTTATTAACATGTTCAGGTCCTGTCAGAGACATACAAACTGTTATTAACATGTTCAGGTCCTGTCAGAGACATACAAACTGTTATTAACATGTTCAGGTCCTGTCAGAGACATACAAACTGTTATTAACATGTTCAGGTCCTGGTAGAGACATACAAACTGTTATTAACATGTCCAGGTCCTGTCAGAGACATACAAACTGTTATTAACATGTTCAGGTCCTGTCAGAGACATACAAACTGTTATTAACATGTCCAGGTCCTGTCAGAGACATACAAACTGTTATTAACATGTTCAGGTCCTGTCAGAGACATACAAACTGTTATTAACATGTTCAGGTCCTGTCAGAGACATACAAACTGTTATTAACATGTTCACGTCCTGTCAGAGACATACAAACTGTTATGAACATGTTCAGGTCCTGTCAGAGACATACAAACTGTTATTAACATGTTCAGGTCCTGGTAGAGAACTGTAACATGTTAGTAATTAATCAAAATAACTTTTGATCTAAATCTCCACATGGACCTAACAGGAAGCACAGTATTTGTAAAAGTACATAAAGTAAAGATTCTTTAAAAAACGTTTTGCTCAGTATCCTCCAGGTTACCTTGCAGCGCCGCTGCTCGCTCTGCAGGTCCTCGTTGTGTTCGGGCAGCGCTGCAGAGAGCTGACGTTTGAACGATCGCAGTTTCTCCAGAGAGCCTCCGATCCCCCGCTCACACCTGTCCCAGTCCTACACACACACACACACACACACACACACACACACACACACA